GGCCCTGATGGCTTATACTTGCTGCATCAATGCTTTGTTAGACACCTGTGCTGCTAATCAGGATGGCCAACAGAACATGCAATGTGGTGCCAATATTTTACATGTTGTGGGCAAAGTTTTGGATCAAACAAGGTAGTGTGAATTGTGAATGTGATTGGTGACAACTTTTTGTTCAAATCGTCTTGATGAATCTTATTGTCTTCTGGAAATGCTGTTACATGGTCTCTCATGAGTAACGTGGTTCACACATAGGGGTGTCATTGATTGGGAATTTTAGTATTGATATATAGAAGTATCGCGATATATCGATATGTCGATTAATAATAAGGTTAATTGTTCTGTATATGTATCTATGTAGGCCTGTAATTGATCAATTTTATGCTAAATATGAACTAAGCTCATACATTAATGTTTTAGATTGAATTTTCTGCCTTCTAATTGCCATCTTGACCAAGGTCATCATAATGAATGTATACATTCCCGTGGCAGTGAATTGTTAATTTACTATTGATATTCATTAATTTATTTTGATAGAGCATTGAGTCCATTGACACAAAGACTTACTGATACATCAATATCGTGATATACAAGGACATTCCAATTTACAGATGATGGTAAATAGTGTAAGGTTTGGCGTTGGTCATTTAGTCAGAACCATCATGCATAATGATCAAGGCGTCCATACATGCTATGGGCATAGGATTAGTAGAAACAATACAATTTGAAATGATTCCTGTGGACAAAATAGATCACTATAGCAAGATAAGTGACTAAGATGGGTTAGTTTCTACCCATGAACATAAGAGCAATTCAGTTGTCAATTCTAGTACACCATCAATACATTCAGGATTAAGGATGCATGACAGGCTAGGACTAACTCCACAAATATATCGTATTCGACGTAATAAGCGCCCCGCTCTAATAAGCGCCCACGGCGATATTTGCTAATATATTGGCAAGTGAACAATCCCAATTAGCATCCCTTCTGATTGACCAATGTACACAAGACTTATTTATTCGTGTATAATACGCACTCGTGTGTTATATGCACCCTTAATTATGGGCAATTAAATTCTGGAAAAAATATATCTGTCGTATATAAACAGTTCAGACCGTCAGCATAAACCACAAAATTTATCTTTCAACTTTGTTTTTTTCCACCAAAATAATATTCTAATAAGTGCCCCCTATTTCTAATTTTGAGAGCATCCTGGGCGCTTATTACGTCAAATACGGTACATTTTTTTTGGTCCATTGTGACTTGCGGCCGCTACCAGTAGGGCAGGCAATCATGGCAATGGCTACCCTTTTCGCAAATAACTGGTGTGATCACTGATTTTCAGTAATCCTTTCATATAATTTCACTGATTTGCATTTTACGCCCAGTGGAATCTGTTTCGCTGGATAATCTAGACTGGTTAATCGCTGGTATTTATGTTTTGTACATGTTGTATTTCCATTTTGATATATCTTTGATGACCTGGGCCCCGTTCCACAAAGCGATTATAGCGCCAAGATGATCGTAACTCCCATACTTTAACATAGGCTTACGACAATCATCATGATCTTAGCACTAAGATTGCTTTGTGGAACAGGCCCCTGATCATTATATCTGTTAGTCATATGGATCTTTCACTGGGCGTACATTAGTTTGGTATCCAGTGGTATGTTTAACCTTGGGATATTGGAATGATAATATTCCATGTATATTATTATGGTGTGTTTAGCAAGACTGACATCCTTGTATACATGGTATGTGTTAGGCTTGAGTTACGGTAAGACATGAGTAAGGGGTGACACTGCATTTGTCATGCTTGAAGTGTCTCTATCATGTCTAATGTAGCCCCTGCAAGGGTGAGGCATATTCACATGGTAATAAGCACCTGTTTGTGGAGGATGACAGCATGAGACTGTTCACATTTACCCACCACCCAGTGCCCATGTCAGGTGGAAAAGGTTATACTGTATGTAGATTTTCACCCGCCCCCAAGTACATACCTTTATAGGCTTGGGGGATATTTACATAAATCTCATGTATTTAGTAAAGTTACCTGCTTACATGCATGTACAGTTCGCATAGATTTGGAGCTTGAAATTTTGTGAGGAAAATTATAGGGGTTGACTTTTTCTCCTTTGTGTGAGTGTTTCTGCATTAGACTAGACCTATGTTCACGGTCTGGTGGCTTCTGTTCTGCGTACAGGTAAACAGTTTTGTTTGTGTGCTGTGCAACTCCATTATACTTGTACATGTTTTATATTGGTTGTTCTTTGTTTAAATCTAATGCTGGAAGCATTATACAAATTCAATTCAAATCCCCCTATCAGTCTGTTCTGTCTATCATCTGTTCAGAATGCCGGCTCAAAACGCAGCTTTTTCACAAATATCAAGAGCTGCTTCTGATGACTAAATCTGATACACAGAATGAAGAATGGATTTTTCAAACTCATGAATTTGACCAAGTTTATTGTCTCATTGGTTTTGAAAATGCTTTGTGTCTTTGAAGGTAGAAGTTTGCCGGATGGAGTTTATGCATTCTGTATCAGGCTGGGACAAAGCCATCAGCCTGCATGTCTGTGAAAATGTGAATCAATAACTGAATTACCATGATAACAAGAGAGTAATCATGGTAATTCATTGGCTTTGCCGCATATTTACGATGTTGAAAGAAGACTAAGAAAATGCTTTCCAATGGTATAAGAGGCATGTTTTGAAAAATAATATATGCATGAAAGAGGCAGCAGATGTCTGTATGCTTGCTTTAAAGAGGAATTTTCATTTAGTTTGTTGGTTTGTAAGTTTAAAAGAAATAAGAAAGATTCATTTATCTCTATTAGCAAGACTAGTGATCATACGTTTCATATTTGTACACACATATGCTGTGAAGGTTAACCAGGTCAATAAGTACCTCATTGTAACAGGCATGGTTGTGGTGGGATTATTCTGGAAGCAACATTCCTATTAGCATCTTTAGCAGATTGATGTGAGGTGTGTTATGTGTTGGACATGATGAGACCTACACTCGGCCAAGGCTGTCACAGGTTCTTGTGGCAGCTCGTAACACTGTAACAAGCCATTGTCACCTGACTAGGTGAAGATGTTTCCTTGTAACCCTGATGATGGTAGAGACACAAAAACAGTCTGAAAATACAGGTAGATATCAACAGACTTGCTTTTTGAATATATTATTTGTTAAACTGTTTACATTAAATTGTATGAACATGGAATTTGTTTATTTTGTGGCTATTGTTTTAGTGTTCAATTTCAAATTGTGATCTGTTCCTGTTCAGTTGATTTGTTCTGATTTGTAAATTCTGGTTGACTGATCGAGTTACTTCATCAGTGTTCACAATTAAGGGGGTTGTTGCTGCTATGCTGTTTTAATGTATGGACTCCGAAATCTCTACAGGGGGCACGGGTAGCCCAATCGTCTTTGTTGTCGGAGTTGTGTCCCTTATTATGTTTTGAGGTTTATTAGCACCATACCCATGTTCACGGGTTTCACCGAAGTGGTAAACGTCGGAGACCTGCATCACTTCGGGCTTTCCTCCAACTTTAAGCTGACAAGCCGCAATATAAATGTTACTGGTATACTGTTAAAAGCAGCACTAAACCCAACTCACTAAATCTTTAGATTTGAACAAAAAGGCAGTGACAAGGACCCCTTGACCTTGATTTTGAAACTGCATTCTCATATGATACATGAAACATGACTTACAGTCTGCTAACCTGTGAGAATTACTAGCATGTCTTCAACAGCTGCTCACTGTTTGGTGCTTCTAACATGCTGCAATGGTGTGAAACAATATTTTTACAGATGTCAATCTTTCCATAAATTGTTCCATGCAATATTGCACTATGAATGAGTACCTATATGTAGTGATAGGTGTTATACTGTGAAAAGAAGCAATGCAATATGTGTTGTAACCTTATCTACTGTCAGTGTTTGAAATTAAAAAAATTACCTGGGCTTCAAGCCCTTAGCTTATTGTGACAAATAAATCAACACGCAATTTTACTGCAGGCCATAAACAACCATACAAATTTGAAACAAAGGGCCCGATATGAGATCTACCTGCCATGGGCCTACGGGCAGGTGCTGATTTTGAACACTTGTCTATTATTAAGGCGTAGGTTCTTTTGGAGAGTGCAGTATTCCGTTGCAGGGTTCACTCAAGGATTTTTCTGACATGGGCCCTTTATGTGATAGTTTCAAATATTCCAGAGGCACACCAACACTTGCCCATATAGCACAATGTTAAAATGGCCCATTGTACTTGAAAAAGGGGGCCTTATTTTCAAATTTAGGGGCTCAAAGCACAAGGCCCCACCCTAGAATTATCCCTGCCATTTCGTCCAAACAGCTGTGATGCGGAATTGTTAATGAAGTGTTTTACACATGACATGTACATGATGTATTATTCATTCATAAATTAGCATGTTTAGCGAGTCGGAGAAGAGTCATAACATGGAAAAGCAATATTTGCACATTGAAATTTTCTGTTTTGTTACATGGTGACAAACTGTAAACAGCATGGAAATCTCGCTCACACACTGATCATGCTGATAGTGGGATCGTGGATCGTGGATCGTGATGTTTGCTTTTTGGTACAATTATCGTTCACAGTCGCACTTTCAATAAAAAAATGTTGATTCAGTCACATCAAACACTAATTGGTTGTGACAGTTAGTAGTGAAGACATGTATATATTTTGCGACATTGTGCCATACTTGACACTGTCAACTGTAAATGGTCAGTGTGACAGATACTTGGCCATCTTGTCTGTGAAAAAGATGTCGACTGCATCACGAATAATAGAATTATTGATACGTATCATATGAGCAAGGTATCGTGATACGTATTGGATCCTTATCAATCACCCAGGGTGCTTATTATGGCAAATGCAGTATCAAAGGAGCTGTTTGCTTCCACTCACCATTGCTAACTCATATTATTTTGTTACCATGGTGATTCTTTGTTAAGTATTTTACAACATGGCATGATTCTTGCTTTTCAATAACTTTTGATGATCATTGACGAAAATTATGAAAAAATATTTTTGTTGCCACAAACATGACAAAATGCAAAAATATTTCCATTGTGATAATATTTCCCTAGTTCTAATCAATAATAGACCGTGGTGAAAGCCCGCAGACGGGGACTACACAAAATCATTTTCGACAGTATTAATTCAGATATTGAATCATGCGCTAAGGTCCTTCAGTATGCTGATAAAGTAATTTATCACAGAGCAATGTAGAGTGAATTCCTTTGTATACAAAAGTATCGGAGTATAATCATGACAGCGATTGTCCCAGCTGCTGTGATGGAGATGATTCACTGATGATACAGGGATGTAGGCAGTGAGTAGGGCTTCACTCTCGTCTCACCGCTACTTTACTCATGTAGGACTGGTGCACAGTGACAAATTCAGGTTGGTTACATTAATAACATATTTCAGGAAATAGAAACATGCTTGAATGAAAGGATTTTATGGATGTGGTTTTCCATTCAGCATTGTTAGTATCTGTACTAGGTTACTGTGATCGTGGATATTCAGATATGCATACGCTGTGTAGTATGTTATATGAACATGATAAAGAGACAAGGTTAGTTTGTTTTTCTTGTTTCAAGAATAGAAATATGAACTCAGCGTTAGAAATTTGCACTAGTCCTGTAGCCCTTGCCAAACTGCCCAATAGTTAAGGTATCATAAGGACTAGTAGACATTTGCCATTTTGAAGGGTTTTGCTTTATGTTATCATTATAAGGACTTGTGGACGAAAGCTGTTAGTTTCTACCACTGGAACTTATTGATATGCTTTACAGTTAGTATTGTGTAATGTGTATAAATAATTCTGTCAATAGACCATACTTATCTTTTAGCTTCATTTTCAATAGAGACTTGTGTGTATGTATGCTTGTGTCCGGCTTCAAGCTCATGGATTTGTTTTTTGAGGAGCAGCTGTGCTACTGTGTGCTGTTTTCATATTCTGCTCTCCCTTCAAATAAACTGTTGTGATATTACTGACATGATGTCAAGTGAGGTGGTGGAACACAGTCCAGCATTAAACGTGATTATAACTGGCACTAGTTCTGTAGTCAGAAACAAAAGTCTCGATGGTTATGTTATCCATGGCCATTTAAATTACTAAGAATTTGAAGGCTTTTCTTTGTATAATAAGGAGACCGCCTCCGTGGTCTAATGGTAGAGCGTCTGACCGGAGAGCGGAAGGTCCGGGGTTCGATCCCCGACCGCGTCATACCAAAAGACGTTGAAAGATGGTACTTGTTGTTACCCTGTCTGGCGCTCGGCATTAAGGGGCTAAAACAAGGACTGGTCGGCTCGGAGTCAGTATACTGTGTCTGAGTGGGGTATTCATGTTAAACTGCGGCTTGGTATCTCAGTGAGCAAGCACTATTAATCGGCATCAGTCCGGCCTAGTACAAGCAGCCACACATACACATACACGTGCATGCAAACCGCTGTATAAGTGCAATAATCTTGGACGCGACGTTAAACCCCATTTCACCTCACCTATAATAAGGACTTGTGACCCAAATGCGTTGTTTCTATCACTGCAGTAACTCAAGTCACCATGTTGACATGCTTCATTGCTTGATGCTGGAGCTTCATGTCTTAACTGTATTAGCATGATTGAGTTGAGTGGATGCCATAGATTTGCTGTTGGATGTGTGATGTTTGTTTCCATTCCTGTATGTTAGGTATATAATATAACAGCATTCAAAAAGGAAAGGACCCTTTGACTCTCAGGACCCTTTGACTCTGACCTTAAGTTTGAGCCTTGCAGGACTATCCCTTGTAACTATAACACATGTCTATTATTACGTGATAATCATAAGTACCAGTACTTCAAGTATTGTCTATCCATAGAATACAAAGGAAACTTTTATCTGCATTCCTAGCAGTAGAAACTAACATTTTTAGTCCACTTGTCCTTATAATGATAACAGATAGCAAAACACTTCTAAATAGCAAATTTCAACTCGTCCTTATGATACCTTAACTATTGGGCAGTTTGAGAAATACTACAGGACTAGGGCCAATTTCTAACGCTGATACCATGTTAATACATAGCCACTATACATTGCTAAGATGGGACATTTAAAAGGTAGACATTGTGAACATGCATTGTTGCAAGCTCAGTAAGCTACGATTATAAGGAACTCTTAGGGGCCACTAATTTTAGCTCATTATAACTGTTGTTCATTATAAGCATATATACAGAGTATATACAGCAAATGGCTGCAACCAAAAAATATGTTCTTTATATCCGTCAGTTATAAACATAGTTTACTGTAATAAGTCAACTGGTGATACCAAAAAAGAAAAAATACTTGATCAGTTTATTATTAATTTTACAGTTACTTCTGTCAGATAAATGTTTGTTGGTCTTTTTATTAGTTGCCAGAGACCATGCATTTAATTGTATTCAGTTTAATAACAAAAGTGTGTTTTTTACATAAATTTATTTTTTGTAATCCATCAGAACTAGAGTGTACTAGTTGTAATATAGCATGGCGGGTTCATAGAATAGTTTACTACGTCACTAGTGAATTAAAATTAATGATTTTTCATACATATTTTATGTCTTTTGTCTCGGGGAAGTTAATCTGTAAACTGAAAATATCACCTTAGCTTCACGTGGCTTAGGGTATCTGACATTTCTACCTAGAAGATATTCCCTTTTCATTTTTTCCAGTCTGTCTGTTAACCAAATTATGTCCCATAAAAAAATGGTGTTGCCAGACCTACAAGACACTGGAACAGCCATGTTATCAGTAAGTATCACAGTCTGTTAGCAGGCTGTGTTTGTGTAGCAGTGCCACGGCTGACTGGAGCCCACTCAATGGGAATCTGGCCTTGCCAGCATGGCGTTAATATAAAGACAGACACAAGGTACTTCCCTGGCTTCCTGGGGACATAAACATGGAGTTTAACTTTTATCTGTGTGCTGTGAAGTGTAAGTGATGGAGATGTATTGGAGAGAAGGGAGGAGGAGATATCAGAGGAAGAGTTGCGTACAAGGGAGGAAAAAGTCTGCAGTGAAAAAATGTAAAGTGGAAAGAGTTTTTTGGCGTTTTCAATGATGCATGTGTGACAACGTCAACGCGCTTATTTAGGCATGTAGTACCTTGGCATTAGGTAATGGCTTGTCTTAACCTTTGTGGCATTTGAAACATTATACAAGAGAAACGTTATTGTGTTAAAACTAAACTGTTTGAAAGACGACATTATCATGCTTTTATATGAACATGCGGAATATTCACACCTCTTTTTCATTTTTTTGTTACCATGCATATTAAGGCAGTTTACCAGTTTACAGTTTACCATTTGCCTGAGTTTGGTTAGGCCATATTTCAAAACCAATTTCCTATTTATGAACCAGATTGTCATGGTGTAGGCACTAGGCAGTGTTAACCCTTGAAATTATCGGAATTGGTGAAAATCTGCCATGGCTCGCTAAATGCAATGTTTATTCTGAATACAGGATATTTCCCATCCCAAAACACAGTCATGTGATAACCCTCTAGGTAATTGATTTTGTAAAGTAATTTAATGACATATTGATAAAATGTTATTGGATGGCCGTTTCTGATATGATATGTATTGTGATACACAAAAATGCTATGCATACGCAATTAAGCATAGTGATGTAATTTGCATATGATGCAATACTTTCATTTATTAATAGTTTTACTGTCTAATATTCAGTTTATTATATACAATATTTTAAACTATATATTATGAGAAATGAAACTTTCAAGAATGTGATTTCAACAAACATATCAAACCTTTCATGGTACAAAGCAAAAATGTATCAAAACATTTTCGTAACTTAATGTAAAATGGTCATTGCATTTCATCATGTTCAGACGTGCTGAATGTATGTTGATTGATATCTGTGACAACTGTGCAAGAATATCGTCGAATTGCAGCCTGTCATTCCGGTAAGTTTGAAATGTAAGTTATTTTTTATAAACTTATGGTGTTTGTAAAATAATGTTTATTTATCCAATACTAGCCATGACTGTATTGGTATACTGTATCAGCATACTGTATTGGCATCAAGAACCGATGGCTACCGGTCTACCGGTCTGTCGGTGTATTGATCCAGGCCTAATACCAGCAGACATCCTAACACCAGTGAAAGTTTACCAGCTGTTTACAGTTAATCAATCCCACTTTTTTGCAGAAATGTTACATCCCTGAAACCATTATTAAATATTTACAGAAGATAAATTAAATAGTGTTATTGAAGTTGAACACAGATGTTTTAATTCAGACAAGCATTTACGTCCTTACAAAACATATTTTCATGTGTGAAAAGATAAACTTACACAAACATTAACTACAAGTCTCAAGACTTCCTTCCTTCCTCCTTTCATCTAATGAAATATAAGATTTGTTTCCATGGAAACCATATGTCAATGAATTGATGCTTAGTCTCAAGCAGCATCTCTCTCAAACCTCACTTTCGGGACCTCTCCCATCCTCTGAACCCTACAGAGTAAACATGGTACATAGGAAAATTGTAAACACTTGGTTTTTGAGCTTTAAGTCCGTCTTGACTTATGCATTGCAAGGGTAAGGCTTTCGGCTCTTCCATCTACTGATAAGGAGAATATTTAGAGTCAGTTGATATCAGATAAAAGCTAAACTGCTGCAGTCCAAGAATTTTAATCTGGAGAGTTACATTTCTGGACTTGATACAGATCTGCCGGTACAGGAACATCTGGGTTGGCAATTCGTGTAGCTGCAAAGGCTTGTCATGGTGTTGATATGGACGTATATTTGGTGCAGCAATTCCTGCTTAGGTATACATGTATGTCATCCTATCATATTTGGGGGCATGGGTTGCCCAGTCGTCTAAGACGCCACAATTCACTGTGCAGAGTTGCATACCTTGGGCACACCAGAAACCTACAATTTAAAATTATCTGAGAGAGGACCCCTCCTGTTGAAAATGCTGGATCCGCCCTTGGTGAGGACCATGTCCCTGCCTGTGAGTTGGTAAGGTGGTAAATGCCTCATGCCTGCATCACTTCGGGCTTTCCCCCCACAGTAAGCTGAGACGCCATGATAACTGGAATACTGTTCAAAGCAGCATTAAACCCAACTCACTCACTCATATTTTTTCCTTCATTGTTTTTTGGACATATGCTGAATTTGGTACTTTTTGGTGGCTTGGCAAGTTATGTTTCATTTAAAAATAATTTGTTGATTTTTTTAATCATTTGATTTTATGACAATACTTACTAAGATCATGTGACTATTACTAGCCAGTATCAAATGGTCCAGTACATTTTCTCTTTGTGGGGATTCCAGTGTATAATAGGTCCCCAGCAACTAATGCTTATCATAAGAGGTGACTAAACAGACTGGGTGGTCACTGATCAGGCTTGGTGACTCGTTTGCACGTCATTGTACCACAGCGGACATTGTTCAAAATATCAATCATTGTTTATTTTTTTGCTGTGAGGTGTTGAAAATCAAACAAAGCATATTCATTTTCAGTTTGGTTCATAAAAGACCTTGTAAGCAATATACTCACTATACATGTAATGATAAAGAAAAAATGTGTTTTAAATAATGCAAGGAGACAACTTAAGTGGAATATTTTTTGGTTAGGCTGTATTTATAAAGGAATGATCAAAGAAAGATTTTTTTTGTTTTATATATTTAACAGACACTCCCACTGTTGTAATTGATCACTCCATGGATGAAATGTTGTCAGAATGGCGAAGGGAAAGACTTTGAGTTGTTTCACTGATAACATTGCAGCGTTACTAATGTCCTACATGATCTATAACAGGAGAATATTTGTTGTACAGTGATCACACGAGCAAATGCAGTTGAAAAGGTCTTACTTGTTGAGGCTTGTTGGTGTTCTTGTGGGCCTGGTAAGGTTTCAAATCTAATGTAGGAATAAGGTAACACTGATAACTTGTAAAGCTATGGGTAATAGGTGAGCATGTTGTTTTGGGGAGTATCAAGTTGGGTCGCAATTGGCCACTTATTTCTTGTGTATCACAATGTAACTAACTTGAGCAAGTCTGTGTTTAAGTATGTTGTACATGCAGTGCAGAGCAGCTTCTGTTGATCAAGTGATGATCAGTAAACACCATTGTCCCATAGTGTGCGCAATGGACTGTTTGCATGTCTATCAATAGCAGTAGCTGTATAGACATGAGACAATGATCACGATGTAGATGGTTAGCACAAGTCAATGAGGCCAGATCAGGATGGCTTTGAAACTAAATGTTATTTCTTACATATCGAATTAGACTACTGCTCATGTTAATATTTAATCAATGTTTCTCTCTTTTTGTGCTTTGTAACGATATGCTGGCATGATGTATATTAATATCTGATGTATGTGATATATACATGATATACATATAGGTAAATTCAGATAATAACCTTCCCTGTGATATTGACTGGACTGACAAATTGTTATGTGGAGACAGCAGGCGAACTAACAGGTACTCATGAATATTATCGGCTTTTTGAAAAATGTTATGAAGGCATCAGATGATGCACGTACTGAAAATTATACATCATCAGATAAAAGAAAAAATGGAAAAAACTGTTATTGAAATAACTAAGGTCAAATTTGACACTTTACTGTTGAAGTTAGGACAAATACTGTTGACTAACTTATTAGCATGAATTCTTTCAATAAATGCTGGAGCAGGTACATTGTATAATATTGACCTGGTCAATACAGAATAGCGGCATGAGGCTGAGCTGGTCAATGAGTTGTCTAACCTTTGGGACAGCCACGCCAGTTGCCTATACCATTGTTAACCCTTTCACTGCCCTTACCAACATTAAGAACCTAGCCTGCAGTGATTATCATGTGGATAGCTCGTCAGCAGTTTGAAGAGGCTTGTATTTTATTTATTTAGTAGACCCTGTCGGGAGTCCCTGAGGCGACTGGATCAGGTGATCAGGCTTGGTGACTTGATTGAGTAGGTGTAATCATACCCTGATGGCATGGATCATTGATCATAGTATCAATCACTGGATTGTCTGCTCCAGATTGGATTATTTACAGGCTGCCGTTATATGATATTGCTCTTTGAATATTATGGTGAATCTTGAAGATATGCCACAAACAACAGACGATAACATCTTGCAAGTAAAGGAGTGGGCCATCAAGTTCCACGTTAGAATTGATGCATATATTGATGCTGATGATATCAATCACTGGATTGTCTGGTCCAGACTTGATTATTTATAGACCGCTGTCATATGGCTAGAATGTTGCTGGTGTTAAACATGTCAAACAACAAACAAACAAACAATTGTAAAGGAGTGTGGGGTAGACTACTGGTTAGAGCTTTCCCTTTTCATGTTGAGTCCCTGGTTTGATTGTTATTCCTTGTCTGATCATGATGATATGACTGTTATTTGCACCTTAGTAATTATTACCAGTCTGTCATTAGTTTTGAGGGAACATGTAACGAAATAGCTCAGTGTCATGAAATTACAAGGAAATATTTAGACACAATGCTTCCTAGTCAGGATTAATGCTGACACTATACATGCTGTATGGCTTGCTTTGTTTGACAAATTAACAGTAGAAGCATGCAGGGTTCCCATGGACCTGGAAGTCATGGAAACATGCTGTCAGTAAAAATGGAATTTTAACCAGTGAATTATTCACTATCAGTTTGTGACTTTTTATGAAACAACCAGTTTTAGAAATATAATGAACGATGAAGTGTTTGAAATTAAGCATGCAACTCACAGGGTCCTTGTCATAACTATAATGTGAACATTGGTTAAGAATGAAAGATTTAGGTGTCCCTAGATTCACATAAGTAGGAGAAGAACCTCTTTTATTTCGCACATTGATTTCCATTATAAACAGTAGCTGAGATTTCTCTTGCTCTGTTAAACATGTCAAAAGTTCATGATTTTTATGAGCTGATTTTGTTCAATTTCATTGAAATTTCAAAAGTTATTATATTAATCTGAAAGTTATTAAAAGAGGCTCCGCCGGAAATGGCCAGCAATTATTATGAAACAAGGGGAAGGTTTGGATGTCTGAAAATGCAAGTGCTGCATCCTTGTGGAGATGGCGTGTTCCTGGTGCATTACTGGTGCATCGAGGGTTAAGTATTGTGATTGTTCATGTTCCTGTTGTCAGTGTTATTGGTGGAGGAAGCAGGGGATCTGCATTGAGCAGTGTTTGAGTGTCTAAAGGTGATGTTGACATGAGACCATCATCAAACATGTGTTAGCTGAGGCATGCACCGAGTACACGCCATCCCCCCCTCTGCCCAGCCACACTGTTGTTATCATACAGACAGCGGCAGGAATTTATTGGGTTGGGAAATTTAGACAGACTTGTCAAATTTCTGCAGGAAACTGCAAAGCATTACAAGAATAAACTTTTATTTGGTGAACATCTGGTTTGAGATGATGGTTGTGGTAAATGATGGGGTAGATTGATGGGAATTTAAGTTTTGTTAATGGTGCTATTCGTAAATTGTTTTGGTTCAGTTTCGAGAAGAATATGCAATTAAACTTCTACAGATGTTGTACTAATAATTACTGATGATCTTATTGCAAAACCATCGCCACATACCTGTGGGATCTTGTCTGTTATGTTGATGTATTAGCTTCATGTGACATCAAAATGATTATTTTTATCATTTGTTGTGTCAATCTAGTCCTACACCATGACTCAGCATTAGAAACTGGCACTGGTCCTATAGTCCTTGCCAAACTGCCCAATAGTTAAGGTATCATAAGGACTAGTAGCAAGTGGCCATTTTTAAGGGTTTTGCTATATGTTATCATTATAAGGACTAGTGGACTAAAAATATTAGTTTCTACCGCTGTGACTGTTTTATTTTCATAAAATAAATATATTCCACAATCTAGAAACGTATACAAAAGCAAGTGTAGCCAGCTCTAGCTAGCTCTATTCCACATGAAATCAACATCGGGAAAATTATTTTTTTTATTTTTAGAGTTTAGAAGGTTTTGGGGTAATATAAGATTTCATAGATTAAATGTTGGTCTAGTGTCAATCATACTTTGTTAAATATTGTGATATTGATGCATACTATTACTTATCATTCTCAATCTCATACCATTGATACCTTTTAGGAGTGTAGCGATGCATGGAACTATTGTTATTTATTTGCCATACTACTTTGTACTATATCAATGGGAATTAAAAAATGACAATAGTGTCATCAATAGTATGCATAACTGTCGATATTTTCAATAGTTACAATAAATTATGAAGAATATATATATTATGTGATTTTCAAGCCTGCCTTTGTGGTTTGTTTGCAAGGATTACATCAACTTCAGATGAGAGGTACTCTTCTTGAGTTTGAGTAGCAACAGGGGAAAATGGCTGTTTTTGATATTGTCAGCAATACTTTATTCATTTCTATTAAATATTATTATCAAGCCTTAAAGTTGGTTTACTTTTATTGCAATACTATTGCAATAGGTGACAACTATTGCAATACTATAACAATAGTGTGGGCTACTATTACAATGCAATCGCAATAGTGAATATATGCCCAATAGTCCCACTTTATACCTATTTATGTGTGCTAGATTCAGAGGCAAGAATAACTGACAAGACTTTGAACAGACTCTGGAAGATGTGATTATGATAAGTAGATGTTGGGTAATACTTGGTTTCATTTTTCTGTTTCTTTGTTTCAGGTGTTGACGATGGAAGTGAGCTGTGACCGGCACTAACTGTAGACAATGGGAGCTAACTCCTCCCTGCCTGAGAGGACACAGGCAACAGCAAGGTCTGCCTTTGCCCGCCTCTCTCAGGCCTATGTTGTGTCCGACAGTGAACTTAGTGCACGCGACAAAAAGAAAAAAGCATCCAAATTTGCAACACTTCGTAAAAAGCTGATACGAGCAAGACGGCACAGTCGATCGTTGGATTATGGCAAAGCTTTACGAGAATTAATCTCCACATGGCATGTTCGTGATGTAAGTGCGTTGGTTCATGAGTATGAGGCTCTTGCAGCATTGAAGGAGTTGGCAGCAGCAGCAAGTCTTGCTCGACCCATTGCCCATACTCTGCGCCAGGACCTAGCAACTCTCTATGAATATAAATTCTGCACTGATGTGGATTTGATATATCGTGGAGCCTGTTTTCCAGCTCACAGATCAATCCTGTCATTAAGAAGTCCATTTTTCAGGAACCTGTTGTCTCATCATCCAGACTATGGTGCATCAATACTAGTCAAGTTGAAAACACCGCGAGTGGATATTCACCTGTTTTCAGCCTTGTTACGGTATCTCTACACAGACGAGCTGAACACACAAGAACTGAGTATAGAGACAAATGAGATCCTGCCACAACTTGCGGAAGAGTTCGGGATCCCAAATCAGCTGGAACATGATCTAAAGGTGCTGCTGGACAACAGTGAAAACAGTGATGCTGTGTTAGTCTTTTCCTCTGAGAATGACCAGGCCGAAATGCTTGGAGCCAGTCTGGCCGAGGCCTCTCAATCTATGCATTGTTCAAACCGGACGTCAAAGTTGGAGTTCCCTTGCCACAAAGCCATCTTGGCAGCAAGGTCTCCATTTTTCAGGAACTTGATCATCAGACGAGCTCGATCTGGTGAGGAACTGACAGAACGAGCGCTGCATACCCCATCTAGGATAGTATTAGATGAGTCTGTGATCTCGCGGAGGTATGCGAGGGTTCTGCTTAACGCAGTGTACCAGGACACAGTGGATTTGTCATGTATTGTGCGGGGCAGCTCCAGCATGTGCAGTCTCAGTGAGGTCCAGGCCATGGTGTCCAGTGGGCGATGTCAGATGACCATTGTAGACGAAGCAATGGAGATCTATCAGATAGGACAGTTCCTCGACTTCCCCATTCTATCTCAGGGTGAGTACAACCATGATAACATCCTTTAGAGTTAGGAAGATGTAACCATGTTAATGTGCTGAAAGAGAGATTATGCTCTACAGTCTTTACCATCTGGATGGTTACCACACTAGGTATTGATGTTATAATTAGTGTCACAGGCATTGGTTCTGTATATCTAGGCGATCATCATCAGATTTTGACAGGGTTTGAAATTAGCATTAGTCCACTAAAGTGAGACAAGTGAACTTCCGGAAGAATAAGTGGCATTTCCTTGTGGATTACCACATTTACCATTATTTGGTGTCAACTCTGTAGCACTTCACTTTTGCAAACTCGTGAAAAAGAAATTAATTTCTAACCCCGTCATCATGGTCATGAACATTACTTCCACATCCTATACATTGATGTACATTATAACATACGAGTAGTCAAACAATGTGGTGTTTGAATCAAACCTCCCTGAACTACCACCTGACCTCATCCCAACCCTCCCTTGACATGTTTAGGTAAAGGCATGAGCATGAGGAGTTGAACATTGTAATGTAAAGAGGTGGGGTATGTTTAAGGCATTGAATGAACAGGATAAAATGAGTACAGTTTTAGAGTCAGGTAATTTAACAGATTATTTCCAACACTAGTAGAAAAATTGAAAGGCATGTTGCTCTATTTGTATTTGATCATGCTTGAGTTTGGTCACTTCAGTACATTAGCAATAGCATGATAAGCATGATGAGTTGCATCTTCCCGAGGCAAGCGTATCCACTAGCCTGTATGAAAGACTAGATTCTATTTCAGCAACGTCTAAACAAACTTTCTAATTGGGCCTAAACTAGTTCCTCTTGAAGAAAGGACAGTTTGTTTTCCAGGAACTGTATTCAAAAGCCTAATCATGATAATGCTTCAACGAGAAAGCGATTTATGTATACGTCAGTTTTATACGAGGCAATATACAGTAAGCAGAAGATAAGAATAGGAAAGATCTTTACACAAGTAAAGTGATGGCTAATTAGTTAACCTAGACTGGCTGGAAAACCTTGGATGATAGTGGTTATCTGGCTGACCAGATATGGTACGGTTTCTGTACTTTTGTGCAGTTATTAAGATTATAAAATGTCCAAATCAGTAGAAGATTGTTTAGAATGTAACTGTATGAAGTATCATCTATGATGCAGTTAAAAATTGATTTAAGGAAGTTAAAAATGCTTAACTTGATCTTGAATGTCAGAAATGTTTGAAACCACAATATGGCCTAAGCTGAAGTACATGCAGTAGCCTTGAGCGTGGTGAGAAGCGGTGTGATGTGTACATCACCTCCACAAACACAAGCAATGAGAAAGTCAACACTTCTCTTGAAGCTACAGGGCCTCACAAGGAAAGGGGAGCGAGTGTTGTCCTTCCGACAGCCTCTGCTCTAGCATTTTATTAAACCAGGGGAGGTAACCACAGCACTTTTTGTGGCATCGTCACCTTGATGCTGTGTATGTTCAACAGCCTAAACCTTGCTGCAAGTTGCTTTGGGTTCTCAACAAACAGCATGCAGTGTTTTCATAGAATTGTCAGGGCTTGAAACATTCCTAAAGCACAGTTGCCATTAGGGGATTTTTAAACGAGTTCGTTTGGCCAACCCATGGCAAGACATTTTGTTTTTTGATTATTTGTGTGTGTGTGTAAAAGTATGAAATCTAAAGAGTTTGAAGGTTAGAGGTAAAAATATCCAGGAACCATTTCATAATTGATCCTTCAAGGCTGGTTGTAAAACATTTTTTTATCTGAACATGGTGAAGGATACCTTTGTCATCTTGTCAGATTTTCTCATAGGGGATGTTACTTCACATTATGAAATATGGTAGTTCAGGAACGAAGGTTCACAAAATCATTTTGTGTAAAGACATTCATTTCCATGTAACATGTACATGCCATATCTGTTAACCTGTTTACTGCAGAAGGATATGAGGCCTCTTTAACATGTTTAATCAGTAATCACATAAATTATTTTTATTGACCATGGTTAGCCACTTGGCATGCTTAGAGTGCAGTTTGCAAAATTAGCTGTCCTTTGTTATGTTGTTTGAAAACACTGTGTAGCCAAAAATGTATAATAGTTCACATTAATATTAATCTTTATGTCATGATTGTATTTCAACAATGTTTAGTCCCCTATATCATGGTTTCACCATACTGATGCCAACTGACATCCCTTTGCACTGACTGACATCCCTTTGCATCATGACAGAGATCCCTTTGCACTGTGACCGACATCCCTTTGCATCATGACAGAGATCCCTTTGCATTGTGACTGACATCCCTTTGCATCATGACAGAGATCCCTTTGCATCGTGACTGACATCCCTTTGCATCATGACAGGCATCCCTTTGCAACTGTGACTGACATCCCTTTGCATCATGACAGAGATCTCTTTGCACTGTGACTGACATCCCTTTGCATCATGACAGAGATCCCTTTGCAACTGTGACTGACATCCCTTTGCATCATGACAGAGATCTCTTTGCACTGTGACTGACATTCTTATGCACTGCATCATGACAGAGATCCCTTTGCACTGTGACCGACATCCCTTTGCATCATGACAGAGATCTCTTTGCACTGTGACTGACATCCCTTTGCATCATGACAGAGATCCCTTTGCAACTGTGACTGACATCCCTTTGCATCATGACAGAGATCCCTTTGCACTGTGACTGACATTCTTATGCACTGCATCATGACAGAGATCCCTTTGCACTGTGACCGACATCCCTTTGCATCATGACAGAGATCTCTTTGCATTGTGACCGACATCCCTTTGCATCATGACAGAGATCCCTTTGCAACTGTGACTGACATCCCTTTGCATCATGACAGAGATCTCTTTGCACTGTGACTGACATCCCTTTGCATCATGACAGATCCCTTTTCACTTTGACTGACATCCTTTTGCACCATGACTGACATCCCTTTGCACTGTGACTGACATTCCTTTGCACTGTGACTGACATTCCTATGCACTGTGACTGACATTCCTTTGCACTGTGACTGACATCCCTTTGCACTGTGACTGACATCCCTTTGCACCGTGACTGACATTCCTTTGCACTGTGACTGACATCCCTCTGCACTGTGACTGACATCCCTTTGCACTGTGACTGACATTCCTTTGCACTGTGTGTGACTGACATTCCTTTGCACTGTGACTGACATTCCTTTGCACTGTGACTGACATTCCTTTGCACCATGACTGACATTCCTTTGCACTGTGACTGACATCCCTTTGCACTGTGACTGACATCCCTTTGCACCGTGACTGACATTCCTTTGCACTGTGACTGACATCCCTTTGCACTGTGACTGACATCCCTTTGCACTGTGACTGACATCCCTTTGCACTGTGACTGACATTCCTTTGCACCATGACTGACATTCCTTTGCACTGTGACTGACATTCTTTTGCACTGTGACTGACATCCCTTTGCATCTTATGACTGACATCCCTTTGCACTGTGACTGACATTCTTTTGCACTGTGACTGACATTCCTTTGCATCATGTGACTGACATTCCTTTGCATCATGTGACTGACATTCCTTGTTATTGGCAGGTTGTGAGGACATCATCGTGGACAGCCTGTCACTAGACAACCTGACGGCAGTGTTGAACTGGAGTTCGGAACCCCACGGGTCGCGCTGGGTCCACCGCCAAGCCATGCACTTCCTGACAGAGGAGTTCCTGCAGTTGGCCCACTCCCCGGGCCTGGTGGACCTCAACAAGGAGTACCTCCTGGAGGCCCTGCGCTCCGACTTCCTACAGGTAATGTTGTGTACAGGTATTACACAGCTCTGATGCAAAGCTAGTCCAAAGGTGGGATTCCAGCTTAGAATTAGACGCTAGAAACCTTTGCTAGTCGTACAAAGTGACTTCATTGATCAGTTGTCAAACTTGATGACTTGGTTGATTTTATGTCATACTTTGATGACATGGATCGTTGCTCATAATATATCTGGATTGTCTGTTTTGGTATTAAGCTGAAATGTAGCTGGAATATTTTCAAGTGCACAGACTTCATCACATGACAAAACAATCTCTTGTGGTGTGACCAGGCCATTGTTCACTTTATTGAGCATCTAGTCTAGGCCAGTCTGTAAGGTACATGGGACTGGAGATAGCACTGGAAAATGTGGATGTTCTAATTGTACTCCTTGTTCTGGTGACTGCAGGTTGGGGAGCTGGATGTCCTGACGTCCGTGTTGAAGTGGGGAGAACATCAACTTGTTCGGCGGATCGAGGAAAGAGGTATTTTATGCATCTAAAGATACTCCAGACATCATTGAAATGCTGTTTTGAAGAACAAGTTTCTGTCATTCAAAATATGTTTGCCAAATGCTGCCCCACTTACGAAAACATCTAAGATATGTTAGAAAAGATAGAAATAGAAACATTGTATGTCAGTTTGGCACTCCAAGAAACAAATAAGATGATATCGAGTTCTCACACAATTATTAACTATTATCTGTTATTATCATGGCTAATGCCTGTTACTGAACTTTGGAGGGAAATCTAAACTGGCGTTTAACTTGCAAGTAACGAATATACAAATATAACAAACCAATTTCAACAGCCCCTTGGAGTTTGTTGTGTGTAGGACTTCATGACAATGTCTTCAAACCCTGTTATATGTACGTAATTCTTTTTCAGAACCCAATCTCCTGAGTCACACAGCGCACAGTGTCACAAAGAAAGGTGTCAAGAAACGGGACTTAAATGATGTCGAGTTGAGAGACATTTTAGCAGAAATGCTGCCATTGGTCCGAATGGATCATGTGATACCTTATAACAATGACACTTTAAACAATGCTATCAAGCGTGGCCTTGTGAGCACCCCTCCTTCCCACATGATTGGGGATGAGTCTACAGGGCAGAGAATGTGTGCCTGGGTGCGTGGCAAGAACAATGGCGTGTTTGTCCGACCACGGTTATTTACTCCATACTATGAGGAGGCTAAGGTGAGTCCTAGGATGGACCAGCAGTTCTACTGTGTGCAGTTAATATCTCATTACAACTGGCAATTATTAAGTGTAAATAAATTGTTGTCTCCATTACACCTTGTAATATTCACCACTAGTCTGAATAGTGCTAGGACGATACACCAACTGTGCGATGCGATACGTATCACGATACCTTGCTCACGATCCGATACGTATTGCGATACTTGCATGTGCACTTACCTGTGTGCTTATCTGTGGTGCGTAAGCCATCTTTTTCATAGACAGGATTGCCAAATACCTGGCACACTAATGATTAACAGTTGGCAGTGTCAGGTAACGGTGTATTGTCCCACCACCAAGTCTGAAGCAGTCTCAACATTATGTTGAGCTCAGCTAATAATTGTCACTATAATAACAATAAAATCTCAAAAAGATGTTTTTGCAAGTAGACTCAATAGTGTCTGGCATGGGCTGCATTGGAGGGGTTGGGTTGGAGGATGCTCAGGGGAGGTAATGCTATTAGTAATCTGTAATCTGTGACAAGTTGGTCATTCTAATTATTTCTTGCAGTATAATAGGTTTCAAAATTAGAATTTATTTTTCTAATAGCATTAGCACAGTAAGATTTTCATTCCTGGGTTTATAATACAATGCTAATAAGATTAATAATTTAAATAAATATATTTAGGTAACCATAATACAATGATAATTATTGTTTGGGCAAAGTTCATGGTGAACCATTACATGTTCTGTAATATATGTGATTAATGTGGGTATGTTTGGTAACACTTGGAGTAATCTGTCACTGTTGTTACAGTCCATCCTTGAGGAGCAGTTGTCTCAGGCCCACGAGCAGGATGCAGGCCGGGTGCGGATGCTCAACATCTCATCCATCCCCGACACACTTTACATGGTAGAAGACAGACACTATGCCATGCCCTATGCCCTGGCCCCTGCTTCTACAGTCGATATCATCGCAGGGACAATACCAGGTTAGTGACATGCCCTATGCTGTAGCCCCTGCTTCTACTGTCGATATCATAGCAGGGACTATACCCTGGCCCCTGCTTCTACTGTCGATATCATTGCAGGGACTATACCAGGTTAGTAACATGCCCTATGCCCTGGCCCCTGCTTCTACTGTCGATATCATTGCAGGGACTATACCAGGTTAGTAACATGCCCTATGCCCTGGTCCCTGCTTCTACTGTCGATATCATCGCAGAGACTATACCAGGTTAGTAACATGCCCTATGCTGTAGCCCCTGCTTCTACTGTCGATATCATCGCAGGGACTCTACCAGGTTAGTAACATGCCCTATTCTGTAGCCCCTGCTTCTACTGTCGATATCATTGCAGGGACTCTACCAGGTTAGTGACATGAACCTGCTCTGGTTCCTCCCTTTTTGTCCTGGTCTGTATCTGAACGTAAGTAAAAATGTGTTTTCTATTTGTGCAGTGCCTGACCGAAATACATATGTGACGATGCTTCAACGCGAGGCAGAGCTACAGAGATCAAAAGTTGCTCAACGTGCGTACTCTCTGCCCTGTTCCGACAAGCGGGCGGTGAGCTTCCAGATACAACTGCGTGTGGTGCGGGAGTTCGGCATGCCCGACAGCACGACGGAGGTGATGACCAACAGTCAATACTACTACACAGAGGACACCCACTATGCCGAGAGGCGGTACATCGCATCCCCCACACGGCAGAAGCACAGTCCAGCAGTCTCTCTGTCTCCCCCTGGATCCTACAGCCCAGTAGAGGTAAGGGAGGCAACCCTGCTTGGACACACTTGTTCCTATCAAATAACATAGTGAGGGATCATACGTTTTTTAGACAGCCATGTTTATCGTGATTACTCGCACTATTATTGGGGTGTAGCATCACACAGACATTTTAAATACTCAGATAATGGCTTGTTTTTAAGAGAAAGTTGTCTTTTAGATGTGAATGAGATGTTTTACAGTTTTTCATGTAATTAGAGAGAAAACTACGAATGTTTCTTAAGCATCTGAAAACACCATAACAGGGGGATAATGGTATTTTTTTCAATTTGAAAACTTAATTTAATTCTTTTTTGGTCCATTTTGAAGTAATCAGTGATAATATTGTTGTGATGCCAATGGATGGTAGGAATGATATTTGATGAACATGTTTCATACACTTATACTGATAAGATATATATTTTGACGTTGGTATCGGTGTTCTTTGAAAGTAATGAAAAGTCATCCTGGAATCATTACTGTTATGTACATAGATATTTTCTCTTGTGTTTGTTCAGAATGAGGCCAGCAGTGACAGTGTTCTCAGTGACATGATGCCAGACATTGCCATGGCAACTTCCTCTATGAGTCAGATGCACATGCACGAAGACTTTGAGCTAGACATTGGTGATGGAGGCAGCCGGCATGGCACTCTGTACATCTGACAGAGTTGCTTCCCTTTCTGTAGGTGGTGGCCAACGCCTTAGTCACAGACGGACAGATCAACCAGAAGGGGAGTGCCCACACCAAATCATGATCTGTTAGGAAAGTCAACTTCATACGCGCTACAAGGCACTGATTGGGTTATTAACAAAATGTGACAGTTACTGTGGTCACTTTGTTGCAGTCTGCAGTGGGATGGAGTTTCTGCAGACGATTGGTATCTTGCTAATAGAAGAACAACTGGAAGTGAACATTTTTGCCTAAGGATGCCGAACCAATGTATGCCATGGCTCAATATCAAGCACAGAAGAGTCCAATATTTCATGACTGATTTATGTGATTACAGGGGGTTTGTTTGGGGGATTTTTCTTAAAGGTTAACATGCCATTTACAAATGTAGGTGTCTAGTGTGTCCTCGTCATCTCGTGATCCCTTTGGGTGAAATGTTAGACATTTTAGAGAGCAACATTATCAAGATTTAGGTTAATTGAAGTCATAGTTAACATTGCGTTGGCAATATGTCTGCCGTATGCGACAAGGGGATTTCCAAGACATGGAGGGTAAAATGCAATATTGTGAAAGCATGGGCATTAACAGAGTTTCTCGGAAGAAGCTAACGAAGGTTTGTTAAATCTGATATAGTTTTTGTAAGGGATAATTGTAATAAGATAAGATAAGTTGACATACTTTTGAAATGAAACCCGTATTAGAAATAAGTGCTAAATTTGTCTCTGTAGGCAAGATTAGGGCAGAACATCAACCTGTAATTGAGTACCGTATTCGACGTAATAAGCGCCCAGGGCGCTCTCAAAATAAGAAATAGGGGGATCTTATCAGAATGTTATTTTGGTGGAAAAAACAGAGTTGAAATATAAATTTTCGTGGTTTATGCCGACAGCCTGAAATGTTTATATACGACACATATATTTTTCCAGAATTAAATGCCCATAAGTAAGGGTGCATATTATACGCGAATAAATAAGTCTTGTGTACATTGATCACTCGGAAGGGGTTCTGATTGGGATTGTTCAATAGCCGATATCTTAGCAAATGTCGCTGTGGGCGCTTATTAGAGCGGGGCGCTTATTACGTCGAATACGGTATATCACATTGAAATGATGTGTGACCTTAAACCCCTTAAAATGTTTTACACCATTAAGTCATCTGATCGGTTCATGCATTTGACGAAGGTGAGGACATCTTCATCCCACGTTGGAGTCTGGCATATGTTTCAATTGGAGATTTAAAATGGCTTGTATGTTTTCATACAGAAATCCTTATTTGTTATTTATTTTATCTTACGTTTTTTCAAGAAAAAGAAAGCATTTTCAGTGTTGAAAAAATATGTGTTTCTTAAGTTACACAGAGACCATGATGGTTTCTTTTGTTTTGATAATTGATGTTGTTGAGGGATTTTCTGCGGGAGAGCTTTATATTTCCATTTGTACATTGTGTAGGACTGTACAGAGAGCAATTGTACATACACCACCACCCACCGAATGCTATGTTTCACATGTAGGAACATTCTGTCCTCAAGGCCTTTCAAAGTGCAATTGTATATGATGGAATGTTTGTATTTCTCAATGCAATAGGACACCTGATCGGATGTAATTATTCTTGAACAAACCAAGCGGCAGCAATGGTGTGTTGTCCACGATGTTCCTGTTGTAGCCACCAACATGAGTTGTGGCAGATACCGTGTAACCTTGCAATTATTGCCAACTTACCGCCTTCACTGTCAGACTGTTTCCACAACTATTTCATGAACACAATTGGAGTTGAATATTTTTCAATTTGAGCACAGTTTTTACACCGTTGCACCAATTTCAAGGATTCGAAATCCAAGTTTAGGATGATTATGATGAAAAGTGTCATGCCGATGATACTGACTGTCAGCATTTCTTATACCTGGTGCCTTCTTTTAATATCAACCACATGTGCAAACTGAGACTTTGGGTCTGCAACCTTTGTGAGGTCCTACAACATTACATTTGATGGTGTATATGGCAAATAACTAGAGCTTCTGTAACTTTAGAAACATGAATGTACTGTCAGCTAGAAATCCGCTTTCATTTGTAGATGCTGAGTATTGTATGAGTCGTAATGAAGATAGCTGGTGTCACTGTGACTTGGAATCAGATCTGGAGAATAATCAACGAGCTATAAGGAATTATTGATTATCTGTCCCGAGGGAATGAGAGGGTTATGTTCTTCATGTGGTGTGAGGCTTAACACAATTCATCTGAGAGGGACAGATAATTTGTAAATCCAAGTTTCCAGGAGGTTATTCTGTTTATTATCCGTTATTATGGTTAAGAAGAGACTGAAGGAAACTGTGTGAAATGTTAGCCCTGCAAAGAGACTTCACTGAAGTCAGCCTGTTGTGTTGATGGAGCAACTCTCAGTTAACATAGATGATCAACAGGAGTCTGTCATCCTGTTGCCTCAACCTTAGAGCAGCTTCCAAATTGCTAGCAGTGAGAAAGTTATTACTATTGATCCTTTATTCCTCATGGGTAATATAAACTACTCCCAAGAAGTCAAAGTACACTCAATTCTTTCATGTTACTATAGAAAATGATATTGTGTAGTCCAGATCTGCGGGCTTTCACCACAGTCTATTATTGATTAGAACTAGGGAAATACTATCACAATGGAAATATCTTTGCACTTTGTCATGTTTGTGGTAACAAAAATATTTTTTCATAATTTTTGTCAATGATCATCAAAAGTTATTGAAAAGCAAGAATCATGCCATTTTGTAAAATTCTTAACAAAGAATCACCATGGTAACAAAATAATAAGATTATATTAATTTCCATCATATGAGTTAAACATGCTAAATTATGTATTCATCATACATCATGTAAATGTCAGATGTAAAACACTTCATTAACAATTCTGCATTACAGCTGTTTGGATGCACTGGCAGGGATAATTCTAGGGTGGTGCCTTGTGCTTTTAGCCCCTAGATTTGAAAAAAGGGCCACATTTTCAAATACAATGGGGCATTTTAACATTGTGCTGTATGGGTGTATGGGTGTACATCAGGAAAATTTGAAATTGTCACATATGTCAGAAAATATCTAGAGTGAACCCTGTGTCATGACAGATTAGTCTATGTTTATATGAAAGAATTGTGTGTTCTTTTACGTCTTTGGAGTAGTGTATGTTTTGAGTTCTTATCTTATATGTAGTTGATATCTGTCTGTTATGCTTTGACCAACCTTTGATGTGCATGCTTTAGCCATGCTTGTTCAAGAAATCAAGAACAGATCCAGATGTATGCCAATTATTTTTGAGATTGCTTGGCATGACTAGTGGGCCATACCTCAATTCTTGAGATGAAAGACAAATCATTTGATGTCAGAGGTTTATTTGCTTTGAAATATCAGATATTTACTGCTTAGAGAGAAAAACATTTCATTTGATTATACTAATTGAAATTTGGAGTTAAACAACAACTAGTTTTCAGGTTTTTTTAATAATAGTATGTTTGTGGCATTCAAGTCAAAGGTTGATCTTAAGCTTTAAGTCTTATGAAATAGTTAATAAGTGAAAAATTACCTTAAGCCCCATACAAATTATTATTTGTCACCTGTATCACTACCACTTTTTTAAGGAAGAAAACCAACTATTGATGTTCTTTCCAGGAAGAGATTATAATGTTCATCTATAAAAATCTCTAAAATGGAGGAACAGACTAAGCCTTCTGGTACTGTAAAATCTAAAATTATTCCATCATTTGATGTGATAATATTATATGCTAAGAGAAAATGTTTCAATTTAATAACCCAAATAATTTTGTCTTTTTGAAAATTTCTGAGAAGAAAGAATGACAACTTCTGTATATTCACTTAAAAACGACAAATCCTAAATAACAAAATATTGTTTGTGGCCTGATAATTTTTTCACCTGTTTTAAATCAGTCTTTGACTACCATTGTACCTTCAGATACTCAAAGGGTACCTGTGCTTTTGGGGCATATAGTTAGTTGACAATCTGTATTCCTTAATGTATGACAGTAGTAATGTGACAGACGGAACATTTTGGCTGATGACAAGCCTCCATGTTGATATGTAAATGTTTGTGTGTGTGATATCATCTGAAGATGGAAGATCCCAAGACGGTAACAATACCTAGTATTGATATGATGTAATTATATTCCTCCATATTTATCCATTTGAAGACACGTTTCCTGTATTTCCATGAGTTGATGTATTTACAGTGTCTAACACTTGGTCAATGTTAGCTGCTGCTGCTGTTGCTGTGTGTCATGGCTGTAGGTGATCAGGGTGTAGGCTTCAACAACACGTGGTCTCACTGTCTTCACGGCCATGCACAACACCCCTGTCTCTACCATCATGAAAACCACATGCTTTATAGAGCCTCATCACCTGCACTAGAACCACATGCTACATCGAGCCACATCACCTGCACTACAACCACATGCTACATCGAGCCACATCACCTGAATACAACCACATGCTACATCGAGCCACATCACCTGCACTAGGACCACATGCTACATCTAGCCACATCACCTGCACTAGGACCACATGCTACATCGAGCCACATCACCTGCACTACAACCACATGCTACATCGAGCCACATCACCTGCACTAGGACCACATGCTATATCGAGCCACATCACCTGCACTAGGACCACATGCTACATCAAGCCACATCACCTGCACTACAACCACATGCTACATCGAGCCACATCACATCATCACATCACCCTGTTACGATGATTGTAAGTCTATGTTAAAGTATGGGACATACGATCACCTTAGCGCTAAGATCCCTTTGTACAACGGCACCCTGCACTACAAGTACTTGCTATATATAGCCACATCACATACACTACAACCACATGAAAGGGTCTTCAGAGTCTTCAGTCAGTAGTTTGGCCTTGTGGCCATAGTACTAATACCATTGATAGATGATAGTGGGTGATCTGATAAGAGGTTGCTGTACTAGACGTGCAGGGATAAAACAGTATTGACTGTGATGTTAAGTATCGCATAACTGTCATTGATGTCATGTCTGCCAAATCTTCTGACTTCTGAGATTAGAAACCTATGATTGTGGGTTCGAATCCTGATTCGCCCCGATTATGTTTCTAGGTTTGTCAGCACCATACCCATGCTCGTGGGTTTCACTGAAGTGGTAAACATCTAAGACTTGCATGACTTTGGGCTTTCCTGCCACATCACGCCGTGATATAACTGGAATACTGTTAAAAGCGGAGTTAAACCCAACTCACTCACTCACTCACTCACTCACTCACTCACTCTGAGATTATTGGAGTACCTTCAACACAATTCAAGTGTAACCAATATGTTCAACACTTACCATTCACACTACAGAATTTACTCAGTACCAAGTCAGGCATGGGGTAGCCTAGTGGTTAAAGCGTTCGCTCGTCATGCCGAAGACCTGGGTTCGATTCCCCACATGGGTACAGTGTGTGAAGCCCATTTCTGGTGATATTGCTGGAACATTGCAAAAAGAGCTGTAAAACCATACCCTCACACACTCATTACCAAGTCAACACATGTATCATTACTGATCACCCTTCTATCTCTATGGCCAGATGATGATGAAGAAAGGACGACACCAACTACCCTGGTTCTCCATCACGCCCTGTACATATGTTGAGCCTATACCCTGATCCAGCTCCCACTGAGTGGATGTCTAGTGGACTGCTGCAGTGTATATAGTACCTAGTGTGTAGCAGTCCCTTGTGTGCGAGGGCCCAGCTGATCACAAGTTCCCCAACCAAAGTTATGTCAGCTGCCAAAATACATTATTAGATACATCTGACCAAAGATAATTACATGTTAATGTCAAGTGAAGATGATGTAGTGGGGCTGTCGGGTAGCCTAGTG